TTGTTGAATATGTATGAAAATGTATAAAAGTTGGTTAATCTGAATGCCGTAAAATACGGCATATTCTCATGTAGTTTCTATCCCAAACTTGTTCTGACATGAAAGTTCATCCTTTAATTAACATTCTCTACTAGAGTATGTATGTTACGGCTACTCTACAAACTATAGTCTTGTTCACAAGATCTTTACTTATGTTCAGCAAACAAAATCACATTTAAAGAATAATGACGTAGTGATAAATTCTTCTATACTTTTAGTCAATACAAATTAGATGAAAATCTCAAAGTTATCTGTAACATTTGAAACCTCAAGATCACCATGTCTCCGTAAAATATAAATCACATGATCAATTATTGATTAGATTGCATATTTCTTATGACTTAGTCTAACTATATAATACACTTATTTTAGTGTAGGCAGATTATTTAAAAGTTCATCTGAAAGCCAAAAAAAAACATCAGAAAAGTATAAATACCTAAAATGGTTTGTACTAAAATGACTTTATGAGTTTAGTAACAATTGGAGTAGGTGTAATTATTGATTATATTTAAGAATGCGTCTAAATAAATGACTACTTTATGCCTAAGGCATCTTACATGTTCAGCAACGAATTTAATTGACCTGAATCTGATTTAGAATCTAACTATAAGTTTTGAATCCCAAGAATCATTTGACAGACAAGAAACGTGATGCCTGTTTTTTGCTTGCTGACACTCAAAAGTAAGGTGTACCAAAATATTCTCGGAAAAACTTGTGTCATTCCATGCTGCTCCTCGAATGTATTATTATTATTATTATTGTATCCTTTAGTTCCTAGAGGAACATAGGGCTTCAGCTGCGCACCTCCATTGCCTTCGGTTTCCTGACAACTTTTTCACCCTGCTCCAGGTCTGTCCACATGCTTTCATCTCCTCCTCGCATGACCTCCTCCAAGTCACCCTTGGACGACCAACTTGCCGCCTCCCTTTCGGGTTCCACTCGAGCAATGGCTTCTCTAGTGATGTCACTTGATGGTTTCCTCAGCGTATGGACAATCCATCTCCATTTCTTTCTGCCTATTTGTTTCACAATCAGTTCCTGATTGGTTCGCTCCCAGAGATCCCTGTTGCTGATCTTTTCTGGCCGGCCATCTGATCTTGAGTATTGAGCGGAGACAGTTGTTAATGGAGGTTTGAAGTTTGTTTGAGATGCTCTTTATGACTCACCAAGTCTCTGATCCGTATAGTAGCACTGACTTCACATTGGAGTTGAAAATCCGGATCTTATTTTTGATGCTGAGTGCTGTTGACCTCCACACAGATTTGAGAGTAATGAAAGCTTGTCTTGCTTTTCCGATTCTGGCTTTGATGTCCTCGTCAGTTCCGCCTGTAGTTGAGACGATGCTTCCCAGGTAGGTAGGTAGGTAGGTAGGTAGGTAGGTAGGTAGGTAGGTAGGTAGTAGAAGGAGGTTGTTTCTTTCAGGTTCCTCTCATTTATGCTGATTGTCGTCTGTTATTGTTGTTGCTGTTTGTGTTGGCTAGGAATCTTCATCACCTCTGTTTTATCTATGTTCACGTGAAGTCCTATCTTTGATGCTTCTTCTGCCAACTTGTTACCTTTCACTTGCATATCTTCCAGTTTATGGGAAAGCAGACATATATCATCGGCGAAATCCAGATCCTCCAAGTCTTTCGTGTCAGTCCATTTTATGCCTGTTCCCTCGTTGGTTGCCGTTGTCTGTCGCATTATCCAATCAATTGTAATCAGGAAGATCATTGGTGATAGTAGACAGCCTTGCCTCACTCCCGTCCTCACTTCGAAGGCCTCCGTAAGTTTCCCGTCGTGGATTACTTGGCATGCAGCATTGTCGTATAACTGTTGGATGAGATGTATAATTGTCGATGGGACCCCGTAGTAGCGAAGTAGTTGCCAAATCACCTCTCGATCGACGCTGTCGAAGGCCTTTTCAAAGTCGATGAAGTTGAGAGTGAGGTGGAGAGGTGACTGCCATTCAAAGCTTTGTTCAATGATGATCCGTAGAGTGGCGATTTGATCAATACATGATTTGTTTCTCCTGAATCCGGCCTGTTCCGGACGAAGTTTTTCATCTAGGGCTTGTTTGATTCTCTCCAGGATGATGCGACTTAGTATCTTGCTTGGAATGGACAGAAGCATAATTCCACGCCAGTTTTTACGTTGACTTAAGTCTCCTTTCTTTGGAAGTTTGAATAAGTAACTGTTCTTCCAATCCTCGGGTACTTTGCCCTCTTTCCACACCTTCTCCAGCAGTGGTGTCATCAAGTCCGTTGTTGTCTCTGGGTCTATTTTCAAAGCCTCTGCTGGGATTCCATCTGGTCCCGGTGTTTTCCCAGCTTTAAGCATCTTGATTGCATTCAGGACTTCTGATTTCGTCGGGGGGTCAGTGTTCACTGGTAGTTCTGCTTCCGTTGTTGGTATTGTTGGGCGCGTTGTAGGTGGCGGACGGTTTAGAAGTCTTTTGAAGTGTTCAGCCCAGTGCTTTCTCTGTTCCACCTCTTTGGTGATTGACTTTCCATTGTATAGTGGTGAGTATTTCCGCCTGTCATGTGGAAGGCCCGGGTTCGATTCCCAGTCGAGGAGCTGGCTTAGTGCATTGGTGGCACAGCGGTTAGGGCGCTCACCGGCCATGCACATGGTCCGGGGTTCGATCACCGGCCACAGACGCACTCCTTTACCTCTCTGAGCCCGAAATAATGCTGGTAAAGAGGAAAGGTTGGGTATGGAGCTAGCAACTATATCCTGTAAAATTAAACACTGCTACAGAAACTTCAAGACACCAAACTTGAGGCCCTATGTTCCACTGGGAACGTGAAGGAAAAAAAATTCTGTGCTGACATCATCAACCTTTATCACTAAGTGACCGTAACGGAATAATTGTTTTGAAAGTCCATTCTGAACGATCTAATTAAAAAACTGATGCTTATTTAGGTATTTGATTGATTAGTTACAGGATTTCATCATCCGTTAGAGAACCATTGGATAACCTGTGAGTACTAGACAGCCAGCCGCTTCGTCCTAGTTTGGGAATCTTCATCAGTATGCATCCACCACAGGGGTTTCAACCCAGGGCCTTCTGGTTACAAGGCCAGTGAGTTCGTAAACCACTAAGCCACTGGGACCCGATCCAATGGCCAGCCATAAATTCAAACTTCTGCCGATTCATAACATAGCGCAACCGTTTCTCTATGTTGTTTTGTGATTGTTATGATAATGTGTTGTCCAGCGATTATGAGTTTGTTTGATTAATGTAAGGATTGGCCTTGGACTGCCTACACGAATTTTTATCCCGGCTTGTTGGGGATATTCTACATGATTCTCAGGTATTTCTTGTGGTTAAGTTTTAGTTAACTAATTTTCTTCTACAGTACTTGTTTTGTATTGGATAAATCCTTGACGCATATAGCCATCTGCCTAACGTCATCGTTGAGGTAATTTGAGGCTTCGATATCTTATTGGTGTTAGGCAGCACCATAGTTTTTATCACAATCAACTCTCTCTTTGTCATCATCAAGGTACCTTTGGACCATAAATCACTCAAGGAAGTTATAGTTAGCTATACAGTAGAACGCGAAGGTTGATTCTCAGTGTTCAGATCGAAACCGAAGTGTTGTCCCTTTGCATTCCTAGTAGGACACAAGTTTTCAAGCTTTCGAAGTTTCAGCAGAGGTTATGATTATTTTGTCGGTTAGGGTTGTCAGATTCATGTTCAACCTTCTATCTTTTTCAGAGCTTATTACAGACGAAAGAACTGAGAGAGGGCTAGGAATGCACCGAAGAGTAATCAAATTTAAGTAACAAGTATTCCAATGGCAACTTTTTTTAATATTTTTCTCCTAAAACTTCACAGTTATGTCTCCATGAATTTAATTCATAGTGTAGTGTTTTTTAAAGGCCACTTTTATTATGAACTTCATTACAAGAAAACAAGTTATAATACCACTAAATCTGTAGTTGTTACCGTCTAAAAAATAGAATTCTTCGTAGCGGTTGTAGTTTAGAAATTTTAATCCTTTCACACTCGTGTACTGTCTGACATGAAGTAAATGAATCGGTCAAAAGATCTTTACAACATAAGCAGAAGAAAACTGAACTTCATATCGAAATTGGCTAACATATTTTGTTTACATGCCAGTTGTTAAATAATTTAATGTAGCTAAGGCTTATAGATCAGTAATATCAAAAATGAATTACGTCTTTCAAATAAGTGGGAAGTAACTTCTCTCTGTACTCAATCTTACTATTCATCTCACATCTATATATCCTTTACTTTTCATTGATTTGCTGCGTTCTTACTGTTGTTCCAAATAATATTTGAGTGACATTAATCATCTGCAGTTGAATATTGTTGCTTCCAAGCACTACTAGTCACTGATCAGTCTTATGCAAGGCTTATACTACTGCTGTCGTGTGATGATTCGGTTTCTTATTCTACAAATAATATATCAGATGCCAGTTAACGTTCTTATTAACGACTTTATTTACGTTCTGTATTCCATAACGTTTGATAAAATTTTTCCACTCGCAACCATAAAGCTGAAGAAAATAACTGCTTGCTCAAAGATCGCTTGTTTTAGAGACAACCGTTGGTGAGGCTTTCTAAGATAGATTTAGATTGACAGACTGTTGTCAGCTTAATTAGTGTTCCTGGAAGATATGAATAAAACCTGAGTTGTTGACAGATTAGAACCAGTACCTCTCGAAGCTACAAGATCCTAGTGCTAACTAGGTCAGAGCTAAACTTAGGAGTAACCCATGGTAAGTCTAGTGAAATGATGATTTGTCCAGTTATTGGATAGTATAACTTAGAAGATGCAGCGTCCAGATGGAAGTCTATGAGGCAATGAATTAATTCTTCTAGCCACTTAGGTTTTCATTATATCTTCAGTAATTCTTCACTACGTTAAACACTTATTTCGTGAAGGAAAAATAAGGTATTATAAGATAAATAAGAAGTTCAGTTGCAAACAAGCTGATGAACTTACATTCATTAGAGTTTGAGCAAACTGTGGATAAATGTTACTCTGGTCGCTTATTTCATCTTCGTGTACAATAAGGATATTTGAAGACTTTATATATCTTTCTGCATTTACCTAAAGATATGTAGAAAAAACATACTTCAGTTAATCTTCAACTAAATATGGTATTTACAAATTAAAAAAAAACATTATTTTAATATTTTAGTAAACAGTGATGAGTTTTAGACAGGGTAATTATGCATCCCAAGTCTCACTAACAACGGCTACCATACTATGATGAAACACAACAACAAATTAAGCGAAATACCATGTTTATTTTTGTTGTGAATTCCCCGGAAGAAAGCCAGGCAGCTCATTTATTCGGGAAATATTTCAAAAACGAAAACTTTTCCGTTTAAAACACATTTTAAATGGTTGAAATTTGTGTTTGGAAAATCCTTATATCACCAGACAAATATGAATAAACTTCATTAAAGTCTTGGAATCTTCTATTCTGTGTTATAATTGCCTACGTGAATGATACACTATCACATATGGACCGTTGAGCACATCCTATCTGGCTGATGTGCCTGAAAATTCATGATAACCTTCACAAATATTATAACAATTGTATAACTTGAAATTAAGAAACAGGGAATGTGGAAGAGAAATGTCTAGGATACCAGCAGCAACGTACCTGTAGGACTGTGTTTGTAGACAGTCAAATGTGGAAAATCATAGTTATAAGATATATAAATACGGTCTTAAATCGAATAAAAAGAGACCTCTTGTTACACATATTAATTGATTTTATATTGGCCATGCAGAGCGCACACGTTCCAGAAGCATCTCTGAACATTATCCGGCATGGTTAGCAGAAGGACAATGCAAGACAGTTAATGGCTGATTTCTCGAGCACTTTGTGAACTCAAGCCACGTAACTCCACCGCAGCCTTCCTTTAAGATGAATTTAAATTGTGAGGCCAAGTGGTACAAAGGGCGTCAGGTTTCAGGTTTTGTGTATGGCGGAGGCGTTGGCGAATTGACAATACAAGCCCTTACTCAGTAAGCAGAAGAAAGTTTGTCCAGTCTGTTATTCTATCATGCTCTTAACCTCTTCATTAGTTGTTCCCTATAAGATTTTTATTGTGTAATTTTACTTTTAGTTTAGCCTTGCCAGATTACTAGCTTGCTAGTTTTCTAGCCGGTCCCAAGCCCGGGTAAAGAGGGAGGGTTGGGGCGTGGTGCTAGCAACTCCACCCCCGCAAAACAATCAAATCGCTACAGAAACTCCAACGAATAAATATATTAAAAATTCTAAAAACATAAGCAATAACCTTATTTTTCGCTGGAATCAGGGAAGTGAAATGATGCAGGCTGGTGAAAGCCTTCGGGAAGCTAGTTGGCCGATGCGTCTTCTTTCGATGAAAGCAAAAGTAAGGATGAGTACCTGGAATGCTCGTACAATGTACGAAACTGGAAAGGCTGCCCAGATAGCCGCTGAAATGAAAAGGTACAGAAGAGAAGTGTTGGGAATCAGCGAAAGCAGATGAAACGGAACTGGAAGGTGCCAACTACCTACTGGAGAGACAGTAATCTTTTCCGGCCACCCAGAGGACAACCACGAGCACACCGGGGTTGTGACTATCATGATGTCACCAACAGCAGCCAAGGCTCTCATGCAGTGGGAACCAATCTCCTCCAGGATAATGACAGCCAGGTTTAACTCAAAAGGAAGGAAAGTTACAGTCATTCAATGTCAATGCTATGCGCCTAAAAACGTCTCAGAACAAGAGAAGAAGGAGGCGTTCTACAGACAACTACAAACAGTAATGGACAACGTCTCAAATGGCGATATCAAAATCCTGATGGGCGACATGAGTGGGAAGCTGGGAGGAGACAACACAGGAAGAGAACACACCATGGGCCGAGAGGCCCTCGGTGAAATGAACGACAATGGCGAACTCTTCTCAGACTTCTGCGCCTTCAATGATTTGGTGATTGGTGGTACTGTGTTCCAACACAAGGATATACACAAGGTGACATGGATTTCACCAGATGGACACACCAAAAACCAAATAGACTTCATCTCAATTCCAAAAAAGTGGAGACGGAGCCTACTGGACACAAGGTCGAGGAGAGGGGCAGATGTGGGTTCAGACCACTATCTAGTACAAGGGACTTTCAAGGGGAAACTAAAAGCCTCGACGATAGCTGAGGATAGACTACAATGCAAGTTCAACACTCAAAAACTGAAGGACATAACCACAAAAGACACTTTCACTGCAACTGTCATAGCAAAGCAGGAAGCATTACGCGACATCACTGAAGAATCATGCGTAGAAGAACATTGGAAGTCTCTCAAGGCGATTCTCAACGAAACGTGTTCAACGGTTCTAGGAAGAAAGAAGAGACAAGACAAGGAATGGATCTCAATGGACACTTGGAAGCTAAAGAGGACAGGAGAATGGTGAAAGAGAAAATGATTCAATGCAAGGACGGACAGGAGAAAGAGACGCTGAGCTCAGCTTACACAGCACTAGACAAAGGAGCGAAGAAGAGTGTTGGGAATGACAAAAGACGATTCTACGACAAGCTGGCCACTAAAGCTGAAAAGGCAGCAGGCAAAAGGGACCTGAGGACACTATATCAGATAACCAAGTCTCTATCCAGGAACAGATCAACACAAGTGAAACCTATAAAAGACAGCCAAGGGAACCCAATTACCAAGGAAGAAAAACAAATTAAACAATGGGCGGATCACTTCAAAGGGCTCTTGAACCGACCAACACCTACAACCCGTCCAGGAATACCAACAACAGTGCGCACACAACTGCAAGTTGACACCAATCCTCCAACGAAAGCTGACGTCTTGAATGCAATCAAGCTTCTGAAAGCTGGAAAAGCATATATAATACCAAATAGAATACCCCCTGAAGCAATAAAAGTGGACCTAGAGACTACAATAGAAATGCTGACTCCATTATTGCTAAGAAGAGGTCTGGAAGGAGGGAAAGGTGCCTACTGACTGGAGGAGAGGTTACCTCGTGAAACCAAAGAAGGGAGACTTACGCCTCACTTTGCAAGAACTGGTGAGGAATCATGCTCCCATCGACGCCAAGTAAAATACTGAGTCGCATCATCCTGGAGAGATTAAAGGACGCACCTGATACATAACTCCAACCAGAACAAGCTGGATTCAGGAAAGGCAAATCATGTACTGACCAGATTGCAACTCTACGCATCATCATCACAGAACAAAGCATGGAATGGCAATCAAACCTCTACCTCAAATTTATAGACTTTGAGAAGGCCTTCGAAAGCGTTGATCGTGAAATAATTTGGAAATTACTCTAGTACTAGGGCGTATCCCGAATTTCGCGCGTGGATGATTTATGTTTGATGTCACTCAAAGTCGAAGACTTACAAGCGAAAACCAACAAAATGGTCGAAGAAACAGCTGGCGAAAACAGGACTCCAGGTGAACATAGACAAGATAGCGGTTATGAAAATAACGAACCGACAAAAACAACAGTAGCAAAATCAAGCGCGAATCACCATCAACGGGAGGGATTTGAAAGAGGTTACTTCATTCACTCACTTATCTAGGGAGCATTGTCTCAACTGCTATAGGAGGAACGGACAAGGATGTCAAATCGAGCGAGAATCGGGAAGGCAGGCGAGAAACACATTCATCAACCTGAAACAACCAATCTGGAAATCTTCGTCACTCAGCCAGCATCAACAACAACATTCGGTCGGATTTTCAATACAAACAACATCAAGTCAGTCAGCTCTTCTATACGGATCGGAAACCTGGCGGACGGGTCACAAAGAATATTTCCAACAGTCTGTTGCAGACCTTTATCAACAACTGTCAACTATCGCTCCATACTGAGGATGAGATGGCCTGGCCGGAAAGAATCCCCAACAAGAAACTATGGGAACAAACAAACAAAACAAGAACCGATCGCCAGCCAACAGATATGCAGGAGAAAGTAGAGATGGATGGATTGGATACTCACTCGCTGAGGAGGCATCGCGCTGGGTGACATCGCGCGCGCGTCAAGCCATTGCTTGAGTGGAACCCGAAAGGGAAGCGGCGAGTGGGACGTCAGTGCAAGGGTGACATGGAGGAGATAGCATGAAGAGGAGTTGAGACAGTCTGGTCTAACATGGATGCAGGTGAAAAGTGCAGCAGAAGGAAGACAGAAGTGGCAAGTGGAGACGTGTAGTTGAAGCCATATTTTCCACTAGGATCTCAAGGGAGCAATAATAATATTAATAATTTTTTAAGTTTGCTTTTACTTAAATAATTAAATTACTTTTATCATTCTCACATGTTTCTTTTGCACATTTTCTCATCCTTTTCACACTTGTTAAATTGACGCTGAACTACCTTTATAACAATTTGAACCTTATCCAAGTTCTGACGCTTTCTTTCTTTATGCAGTTGGGTACTACATAATTTAGAACTAATATTTTTATTTCCAAGGCCACCTTTGAGTAATTATATCGGTTACATAACTCTCTGTTACTCAGTAATAGACTACTTTACATTTTCGGTAAATATAAATCCGACTGTACAGCCTCTGAAGGGGATTTCAACAATATAAAAATTTTATTACCTAAATTGTCTTCCTTTTTTTTTATTGTAAAACAGTTTTTTTGTCTTTAAAAGATAATGTACATTCATACTACAAATTCTTTGAAATAACAATGGAGCTGAAATGTCAAGTTATCAGATTTGCTCTTTAAAAAAGGTGTTATTCCATTAACTGTAAACCGTTAGTAAATGTACACCTAATTTATCATCAAGCCTCGACTGTGTAGTTCGCCTAAGTCATCGTATAAAAAACTACCAGTCGAAGTACATTAGTCAACATAATAATAGTCGTCGTCTTCAATTAACCGACAAGTTTAGTGGTTCTATTATTGCGAGGGTTCATCTTCAAACAAATTCATACACTTTTAGTGATTTTTGACGGTAGGGGGACAGGATTCAAATTTCTGAAGTAGAACTTATTAGATCATTTCACAAAGGCACTAATGATATGTTCTAAGACACGTTCAAAGAACTACCTTAGTCCTCCTACATAAATATAGTGAAACGTATTCTTGAAAATATTTTTCATTCACTAGACTTCTTAGGCGAATACTCAGGAAGTGCTTTCGTCCCTCAAACCAAGTTGACTTATGCAGTCAGTGTAGAAATTCTTACCTTTATGTTCACTCGCTAAAGAATTACGTTATGTAATGACATTCTCCCTAGGTCTTACAAAAGGAATGAGAAGGGGAGTAAAATCGCGACCACACACACACACACAAACAACTGCAATAAAGTGAATTTCGTCGACGGTTTATGAAAAAACACTAGTGTGTACCTAAACATCATAGAATTTAATGATACTTCAGAGGATTTATTACTGCTAACATCATAGGATTGCCGTGGGCAAGGCATAATGAACAAAAAAGCACGTGCTACCATCTATTTTTCTTTCAAACAGATTTATGACATTCTTTCTTCTTACTTTGTGACTATTTTGAGGGCTAAATGTTTCAGCAATTTTGTTGCATATGTCTTTCTTTCAGGAACATTTTTCAAGATAAGTGTATGAGATTATACAAGAAATCGTTAGTGAATTGCAACCAGTGGATTTGAATGCATAATTTAGCTTATGACTTGGTATTTTTTCATTACTGTTGACTCAAATCATACTTCAGAATACTAAGTAACATTTAGTTTTCCTGTATACTCCGTCCTGAAGAATAATCATTTTGTTGTTCTTTAGGGGGGGTTTCATTTATTGACAAAATTTACGATTAATGTACTGCTGGCTACATAAATATTTAAGAAGGCAAAAAGATTTCCGAACTGCTTGTGTTACGAGTGAAAAAATGGTTATAATTTTTCAAAGTTTATCTAGTGGTGTTGTTACTAGTCTCATATCCAACGTTTCTTCTTTTTCGAGGCTTAGGTTGTCTAAGGGAGGCTTAGAACAGTGTCAACTGTTAAAATATTTAACTCGAAGTTCCTGCGTGGACAGAGAGTGTTCCAACATACTTTCCACCCATCGAAGAAGAAAACTTAGGTTTTATGGCGTCATTTTCAGAGGTTACGCCGTCCTGAATGAAATAAACGAATTCCCTTAGGTTTTCTCCAGATATAGTTACCAGTTGTTGTTACTGTTGACTACGTGTATTCGTCATTCCTGTCTTCTTTATGTCCGTCTGAGGACTTGTTTTCTCCTCATGATTCTTCTGTTTACTTGTTCATTTTCGCCACATAGAGCTTCGAGCTTGCATGAAATCAGACATAAATCATCTACGAAATCCAAATTTCCTGGACTATACATATTGGCTTATCGAATGCCCAGGTTCCTTATTGGGTAAGTTTGTTTCAAATATGGAATTGAATTCTAAAAGAGTGTTCAAGTTCTACACTTAAATAAAACTCAGTAAATTTGTATACTGTCAAGCAGCAATTGAATTTAAACATCTGTGCAGTAGACATTCAGCGAGTCTATTACTCAAAGGTTAAATGAATGCGTTAGAAGTTGATTTAAAGTCGTATTCATGAGTAGGTATACTTGAGCTGAAAAGGTAAAACAGATTCCTTGTTCTACTTTAACAAAAATAAAAAGGTTAACACTCTGAATTCGAATGTCAGCACCAATTTAAATTAGGACATATCAGTTTTACTTTTTCTGTGGTAGCTACCATTGGAATTCAGGACGAGCTTTTTGTCTGATTAGGCATTCTTCAGATAAATATACCTGCATCCTCCGTGGAAGATGGTTTTCTCATTGAAAATTAAACAGGGAATTCCAGGCAGTTATAAAAAATTTTGATACCAGTTGAACAGTTTTATATCAGGCTCAGTAATCTAAGGCAGAAATACAAATACCTACCTATTATCAAATAAAGTATAGTTGTATTTCAATAGTTTACACACAATGATACGTTTTGTTATTGGTAATATTTCCAGCAAAATTACTGCCCGTGTTCACACCACTATTGTGTGAAAGCTATTGACATATAATTATACTTTATTTGATCTATTCCACAATGCTCAAACTTCTCATTGACATTAATCCCACCTATTATGTTATGTCTAAATGTTGTTCTGTTTGAGAAGAAACTTATTACTCAAATTCACTTCAAAACAGGTGAATTATCAAACACGTTTCTCAAATGTGTGGAAAATTTTGTCTCACCTGATTTGATCTTGGTTGACCGTAAGATTTGTCATTCTTTGGCATTGCTTGAATTGTCCTTACGTTGTTATAAGAATGTATATCACTTCTGTCCATACTTGGCGATTCAATAATCGCACTTGTATCCGCAGTAGGTGTCACTGTTCTCGGTGAATATGGACCGTTTTGTGTAATACTGCTGTTATTATGATTCTGAAGAGATATTTAAAAAAACAGTCGTATAGGAAAATATAAACATTTAAAAGTTTAGATTTCTACTGTTATAAATTACTAGTAATTTTTAAACTGAGGCAGGCTTCATTTAGTAGAATATAACTACCGGTGATTTCATGTAAATGTTGCGAAATTCCGTTTTATTACATATTAATTATTTAGCTTGAGGCATTCGTTTTGTGATACGCATTTTCAACCATAACTTTATCGGTTGCCGGAAAGAGAGGAATACAAAATATCGTCCGCAGAAGCATTTCATCTGACCGTGGTTGCTGTGTTGTTTGTTGTCAAATCATAACTCATAGACCACTCATCATTTATAGAGGTACATATGGTAAGAATTCTTGCGTAAATATGAATTTAGTAACCCTTCATTCCATCTCAATAGATTGATAGCCCTTGGTGTGAATACAGCTTATCGAATAATTCAGAAATTCGGTTTATAGGTAGAAGTGAATACACTGACTACTATCCTCTTTTAGTTTTATCTGTCACAACACACACACACACACAGCGTTATTTTTTGTGGTGCTATAATTCTTGAGAGATTTAAAGGTTCTCTTTTTGTACTTGGTCTATTTTGAAACCTGTCTTTTACTTGTTTTGCAGGCCATGATTTTAATTGTATAAATACCTGCGCCTTATATGCTGTTTCAATACAATACCAACAGAACGTGAGTACCAGGTACGAACAAATTCAGTAAAACATTTTAATCAAATGGAAATATCACTTGGAAAGGAATACAGAGATTATACTTTTATTAATTTGTCTGATAATGACTGGGAGTGAAATCCAGGATGTTCACTTTGGGCTATTCAGGGCTCGCCAGCTGGATCAACCTGCATCCCTTAGCGCATGCTGGTGTTCCCACTGGAGAAAGCAGTTACTTCCAGATGACGAGTTGCAGATAGGGCGGAATGCCCATCCTGGATTCCAGTGTTAGTCACCACCTCCATAAATTATTTCAAGTGAATCTCTGGACACTGTCAAATCATCCTCACATGAAGCCGACATATCAACAGAGGCTGAACATATTTCTCCAGTTAATCAACAGGAAAAACAAAAAACTGAATCAAGAAAAGATTATGTTTGTGTATTCACAATAACTGACTTCCTAAATTATATAGACACTTGCATGAGTTAGTTGTTTTAATTGTTATTATTTTAATCGCCTTAATCATTACCCAATAACCCATATGACCATAAGGGTTTGAAATATCTCTGTTGGATGATTGTGTTATATAACTGTAGGGCTTTAATGAGAAATTACCTATTTGTTTAAATTATATTGCGTAATTTTATGAATTAACAACATTGTTAATATAGGTGGTTAACTCTCTTTGTACCCAGGGTTGTTACCATACTAGATTTCCTAAACGCAGAAAGTAAGCTTAAACCTGACTTTAATCAGGTAATAACAATAAATTTGTTTTTAAATATCCATTACTGTAAAGTTACTTCCTGGATCCAACTGGTTCATTATTCGATACATTAAAACTTCACATTCTTCATTAAATGACACAATTTTGTTATTACATCACCAGGTATCATGAGTTCTATTGTTATTCATATAATAATTATGAAAATGGTAATACATAAGTACCGTGATTACAATCTTTTAACCAAATGTTTCAATTATGATAGAGAAGTACTCTTTTTATGAAAACTGCCTTTTATATTTTCATATTTTTCGATTTTGTGAAATTTTAAAGTGATATGGTATGAGAATAGAACCTATTTAATTTACAATATTTTGTTATGAGTGAATTTGGAAATCTGTGGGCACTCATCTGACTAATAGATAAAAAACATTTATTACTCGGATATTGCTCACGACCCAGTGTAATTACATAGTCTGTTTCTACCACACGCCAAGAGTCATTTTTGCTGCCTATATTCTGTAAACATCCGGTACAGTTACAATTAGCAGTAAATTTTGTGCAGAGCTAAAATGTCATCTAAGGAAGTTAAATCAGGATCTTATTTTCAAATGAACTGTAGTCAAGATTTGACAGAATAGTTCTAAAATACTTGGGCGCCGAGTGAGAAGTAGACTTTGTAAAAATTTATATTTGTAAAATCTCAGCGATATTGAAATGAGTAATTCCAACGTTTCGTCCGGCAATCTCGTCCGAACTTCTTCAGGGAAATTAATCGAAATTAACATAACTAAACTCTAATCCTAAACACCATAATTTTGAAAATACGTCTAATCATAAAATTCTAGATACTAACAGTTTGAACAGACATGAAGTTGTGATGTTAGCTGACGCATAGGAAATCCTGATTAATAAATAAGAATGGATATGTATCACTAACTAATAATACTTGGTCAAAGTTTCCCGACTGTCTATATCTACTTATGGAGCCGTTAAGACATTGTTTTACAACTGTTTATCCGCACACACACACATACATACACACTGTGTTTAAAGTGTTTAACAAAGGTAGATCAATATTTGTAAGTCTGAGGTCAAATTTTGGTCACAACTCGTACAATTTTGTTTATTATACTTGTTAATATTTGTTTTATGAATCATGATTGGACAAAGTTTTTAAAAACAAAAGATGTTCCTTTTATATATAAACCTGTTATGTTAATTTCGATTAATTTCCCTGAAGAAGTTCGGACGAGATTGCCGAACAAAACGTTGGAATTACTCGTTTCAATATCGCTGAGATTTTACAAATATAACTTTTTACAAAGGATCTTATTTTGTTCACAGTTGCAGTATTCATATATTATAAAAATGTCAATCCTGAGAAAGGTGGCTTTGTAAGAGCTGGATTTAGAAAGTGAAAATTACTGATCCTGCTGTTGACATAATTTTATTCTGTTTCATCAATGTTTCCAAGGGAGAGGTTGTATACTGACTGGTATGTCAAATCTAATTGACCAATAAAGGACGACAATGGAAAGTCAATCACCAAAGAGGTGGAACAGAGAAAGCACTGGGTTGAACACTTCAAAAGACTTCTAAATCGTCCGCCACCTACAACACGTCCAGCAATACCAACAACGGAAGCAGAACTACCAGTGAACACTGACCCCCCGACGAAATCAGAAGTCCTGAATGCAATCAAGATGCTTAAAACTGGGAAAACACCGGGACCAGATGGAATCCCAGCAGAGGCTTTGAAAATAGACCCAGAGACAACAGCGGACTTGATGACACCACTACTGGAGAAGGTGTGGAAAGAGGGCAAAGTACCCGAGGATTGGAAGAACAGTTACTTATTCAAACTTCCAAAGAAAGGAGACTTAAGTCAATGTAAAAACTGGCGGGGAATTATGCTTCTGTCCATTCCAAGCAAGATACTAAGTCGCATCATCCTGGAGAGAATCAAACAAGCCCTAGATGAAAAACTTCGTCCGGAACAGGCTGGATTCAGGAGAAACAAATCATGTATTGATCAAATCGCCACTCTACGGATCATCATTGAACAAAGCTTGGAATGGCAGTCACCTCTCTATCTCAACTTCATCGACTTTGAAAAGGCCTTCGACAGCGTCGATCGAGAGGTCATTTGGAAACTACTTCGCTACTACGGGGTCCCATTGACAATTATACACCTCATCCAACAGTTATACGACAATGCTGCATGCCAAGTAATCCACAACGGGAAACTTACGGAAGCCTTCGAAGTGAGGACGGGAGTGAGGCAAGGCTGTCTACTATCACCAATGATCTTCCTGATTGCAATTGATTGGATAATGCGACAGACAACGGCAACCAACGAGGGAACAGGCATAAAATGGACTGACACAAAAGACTTGGAGGATCTGGATTTCGCCGATGATATATGTCTGATTTCCCATAAACTGGAAGATATGCAAATGAAAAGTAACAAGTTGGCAGAAGAAGCATCAAAGATAGGACTTCACGTGAACATAGATAAAACAGAGGTGATGAAGATTCCTTGCCAACATCAACAGCAACAACAGACCACAATAAGCATAAATGGGAAGAACCTGAAAGAAACAACCTCCTTCACCTACCTGGGAAGCATCGTCTCAACTACAGGCGGAACTGACGAAGACATCAAAGCCAGAATCGGAAAAGCAAGACAAGCTTTCATTACTCTCAAATCTGTGTGGAGGTCAACAGCAATCAGCATCAAAAATAAGATCCGGATTTTCAACTCCAATGTGAAGTCAGTGCTACTATACGGATCAGAGACTTGGCGAGTCATAAAGAGCATCTCAAACAAACTTCAAACCTTCATTAACAACTGTCTCCGCTCAATACTCAAGATCAGATGGCCAGAAAAGATCAGCAACAGGGATCTCTGGGAGCGAACCAATCAGGAACCGATTGTGAAACAAATAGGCAGAAAGAAATGGAGATGGATTGGCCATACGCTGAGGAAACCATCAAGTGACATCACTAGACAAGCCCTCGAGTGGAACCCGAAAGGGAGGCGGCGAGTTGGTCGTCCAAGGGTGACTTGGAGGAGGTCATGTGAAGAGGAGATGAAAGCATGTGGGCAGACCTGGAGCAGGGTGAAAAAGTTGTCAGAAAACCGAAGTCAATGGAGGTGCGCAGCTGAAGCCCTATGTTCCTCTAGGAACTAAAGGATACAATAATAATAATAATAATAATAATTGACCATGCCACATAAGACAGACAAATAATCGAAATTGAATTACTGACAGTCTTCAGGCGCGTATAACTTTATCAACTGAACTTAGAAGTGAACTGAATGTTCCCGTTAACTATAAACACTGATAATTAAATAGTGAAAGGGCACACTGATAGTAAGTAATACGTAGTACTTATTTGTCTAAGGAATAGACGCATTCGGCAATATTTAGCAGACAAAAAACTGCCAAACCAAGGAAGCGTTATCCATAATGACAATTGATTCATGGAGGTGTGATAAAAAATACAAATGAAAAGACTGAACAGGATACTCCGAAATCTGAATGTACTTTGGCGTAAAATTAGTATCTGAGTAAGACACCGTCTACAGGTAGACACTCATTACTGTTGCAGTACGAAGTGTTCGGGGGTAATGGATCGCCAGACTTGAGTAATACTCACTTACTGTCTTTTATTTATTTTTCATTTTTTGCTTTTTGAGTGAAACTTATAGCTTCAGGCGGTTAGCTTTGAATTTTCATTGGTAGTGGTACTTTTTAATCAGATGAGATGGCTAGCCTCACGTTCAACCTTCACTCTTTATTGAACGTACTGCTGGTTAGGTTAGGCCAAGGGATATTTCGGTTGGAGACCACACCCCGGACCATGTGCATGGGTGGTGAGTATTCTATGGCTGAACCACCAAGGCATTCACTAACTGACCAACTAACTTATCATTCTGAGATTATTTTGTCAAATATCTAATGGACAGCAGTATGTTTAGACACTTATAGTATTCAAATCTCTTTCAGATATAGTGAAATATAGTTTTTCAAACAAAATCCAGTTAAGTTGTTAAAGATGAAAGGAATGGTGGAAGAAAGGCGAACCAATTTCAGTAGTTATTAAGTGATAATTATGAATTCATTGCCAAGATATATTGAAATGCGTCAAATTTAATTGACTTGGTTTTACTGCAACTCAGAATACCTAATTCAATTGTGACCTTCAGGTGATGATGTCTATAAATAGCGCTCATGGAAGAGATGATATTTCTTTTTTATCAATCATGAGTATGAGACAGTAATTAGGACACCAAAAATCTAGTCATTATAGTATGCGAAAGAGGTATTTTTGTTAATATTGTCCATATCAAGCATGGTTTATGAATATGATTATCTTAGGGACTGGATTGAACTGAGAAACCGGGAACTTAAATAATAGTAATAGTAATAATCGTCTATCTGCTGCTAGTTACCACTACATTAATAATGGAGAAATAATCTCAGAAAATTAAAAACAGCCTATTAAACATTTTGTCGGATTTTATTGACATAAGTGCGTCGGTGGTATAGCGGTTAGGACGCTCGCCGACCATGCATATGGTCCGGGGTTCGATCCCTGGCCGGCGCACTCCTTTACCTCACTGAACCAGAAATAATGCTGGTAAAGAGGAAAGGTTGGGCATAAGGCTAGCAACTCCATCCTGTAAAAATTAACACTGCTACAGAAACCTCAAGCCACTAGCTTGGAGCCCTAAGTTCCACTGGGAACGTGAAGGAAAAATTATTATTATTATTGACATAAAGCACTTCAACCATTCTGCACGAGGGAAGGTGATTTCAACAAATATAATTCTTAAACTCCTTAAGTAGGTTTCCAAAAGTATTATATTCCTTGAATAATTGTCTTAAAATGTTGTCGAAATCCCTCGAGAAAAGAACAGGTCTTTCACATAACACTGTTTACGATTTAGATGTGATAAAATGTATTGATGTAGCGATCATATATATATATACTGCCTACTATCGCCAATGATTTTCCTGATTGTAGTGGATTGGATAATGCGACAGACAACGGCAACCAACGAGGGAACAGGCATAAAATGGACCCACACAAAACACTTGGAGGATCTGGACTTCGCCGATGACATATGTCTGATTTTCCACAAACTGGAAGATACGCAAGTGAAAAGCAACAAGTAGGTGACAGAAGAAGCATCCAGAGAAGATAGGACTTCAGGTTAACATAGAGAAAACAGAGGTGATGAAGATTCGTGGCCAGCAGCAACAGCGACAACAACAACAGACAACAATCAGCATAAATGGGAGGAACTTGAAAGAAACAACCTCCTTTACCTACCTATCTGGGAAGCATCGTTTCAAATACAGGCGGATGGAACCGATGAGGATATCAAAGAGAGGATAGGGCAAGCAAGGCAAGTTTTCATTACTCTCAAGTCTGTGTGGGGGTCAACAGCACTCATCATCAAAAATAAGAACCGGATTTTCAACTTCAATGGGATGTCAGTGCTACTCACTATACGGGTCAGAGACTTGGTGCGTCATAAAGAGCATCTCAAACAAAATGCAGACCTTCATTAACAGTTGTCTTCTCTCAATACTCAAGATCAGATGGCCGGCCAGAAAAGATCAGCAACAGGGATCTCTGTGAGCGAAGCAACCAGGAACCGACTGTGCAACAAATAGGCAGGAAGAAATTGAGGTGGATTGGCCATACGCTGAGGAAACCATCAAAAGACATCACTAGAGAAGCCATTGCTCGAGTGGAACCCGAAAGGGAATCGGCGAGTTGGCCGTCAGTGCAAAGGTGATTTGGAGGAGGTCATGTGAAGAGGAGATGAAAGCGTGTAGGCAGACTTGGACAGGGATGAAAACGTTGGCAGAAAACCGAAGGCAATGGAGATGTGCAGCTGAAGCCGTGTGTTCCTCTACGAATTAAAGGATATAATAATATAATAATATATATAATATATTCCGATTAATTGGTAATGTAACACTTCTGTGTGTATAGGTGTACAGTTAATTTACAGTCTGGTTAAAATGAGATATGTCGACAGATATGACACCGAGCGTATACCTTATCAGTATAAAAAAGGTAAATGTATACATAAACATATAAAATACATTTATTATATAAAAAATATATTTGTTATAAATTTACTCACCTCTACAGACACTTCATATGAATGACCTGTAGCTACAGATGAATTAGTTAAATTCATAGTTATTGGTATTTTGTGATTGGTTTTTGGAGTAGATGAAGCAACAGCCACTGGACTAATAGTTCTGTTTATAGGTGATGACATTTCAGTGATTTGTTCATCACTTTCTGGTCCTTTATTATCCTGAGAAGCAAAAATCAATTGAAATGAAGATTTCTTTATGCATATTTAATACTTATCAAGTTGTTACTGATATGCTATAAATGTAACATCTACACAAAACAGCAGCTGTCAAAGAGTAAAGCCTGGATTCTTTGCCTACTATGGAAATTGTCTTAATTATGTCTATGTAGTAATCATCTTCACTTTTCATTGGTACGTATGGTTTGTGTTCTGTTTCTTGTGTGTGTGTGCGCGTGTGTGTGTGTGTGTTTGTGTTTATTTTTAAGCGTAAAAATGTTTTCCTCGATGAATTCACCTACTCTTGGGCCTTGTTGATAAGGTATTTTATAAATTGCTGGTTATAAATCACAAGTTCTTTTAAGTTTTAGGTAGAATTTTTTCAAAATCACATGAAATTCGTATGCATTCATTCATTCATGATATAACTAAAAATTCAGTTATTACGATTAGAAGAAGGAGAGACAAGAAAGCGGTTAATTTATAGTGTCATTGGAGAGATGATTGAATTTTATATGAGTATCATACGTAAGCAGAAGCAGAATCACCAAATTTGCTAATAAGAGAATAATTTAAAGTTGTTCTGCTGATTTTTTTCTTTCCTTCACATTCCCAGTGGAACAAAGGGCTTCAAGCTAGTGGCTTGAAATTTCTGTAGCAGTCTTTATTTTCACAGGATGGGTTTGCTAGCTTTATGCCCAACCTTTCCTCTTTACCAGCTTTATTACTGGCTTAGCGAGGTGTCGGAGTGCGTCGGTGGCCGGCGATCGAACCCCAAGCCATGCACTTGGTCGGCGAGCGGCCTAACCGCCGTGCCACTGACGTACTGTTCTGCTTATAGAATGTTCATCAATCACGAATGTGGTTCGCGTTTGAATCCCTGCCAGTGCACACCTTAACCTGACTTTTCTTTGTCCTATTTTTTATTCCTTTACGTTCCCAGTGAACGTAGGGCTCCGTCAAGCTGGAGCTTTGAGGTTTTGGTAGCAGTGGTGTTTATTTTTACGGGATGGGGCTATAATGCCAATGCCCAACCTTCTCTCTTTACCGGTCTTATTACTGGTTTAGCAAGGTAAATCAGGGCGTCGGCAGGGTATCGAACCCCAAACCACGTGTGGTGTGGTTGGCGAGCATCCTACCACTGTGACACCGACGCTTACCTGACTTAGCAGGTGAAAATAACACAAAAGCTACTGAACGCTTCTGAACGCAAATAAATGGGAAAAAAATCCATTTTAAATGAGTAACCTTCAAGTTATGCGGAATTATTATTATTTCTTCGGGTTAACTCACATATATACAAACATGTTGACACTAAGTATACTCTAATCAACGTATTTATTACATAAGCATTATTCATAATCAAAGTCTGAATACAGCTTTTTTCCCCAAGTAGATTATGAAGTATCTTCTTTGAATTTACAACTAATTTTAGCAGTAAGGGCGTATGGGCATATCTTATCCATTTAGAGAATGGGCTCAGACAAATTATTCAGTAAGATATACTGTGTAATCATTATCTCTACAAGACTCATCTCCTACCTGGCATGTCCACTAAATACAGGTGTTTAATAGCAGGCTCTCTTTTGATAATATTTATTGTTTGGGATTCAGGAATTGGATCGGGTCCCAGTGGCTTAATGGTCTACGAGCTCGCCTTGTAACCAGAAGGTCCTGGGTTCGAATCCCAGTGGGTGCGTACTGATGAAGAGTCCCGGACTAGGACGAAGCAGCTGGTTGTCCAGTACTCACAGGTCTTCCAATGGTTCTCTAACTGATGTCAGTTCAAGTTGAAAGGACATGTTGAAGGTCAAAATAACAATGAAGACCATCAAACCAAATAAGAGAGGTGATAGTACATCTGCTATGGTATCAAAACAAAATTTACCAAGGAAGTTTTAGTGTGATGATGAATTGTTGCTTTGAACGCATAAAGGGGTCTAAACTTCCTAAATGCCAGCTAAAATACTCCCCAAACACGTCTGATAGATAGGTTTAAAAGATGTGTAAACATCAATTTTATGTCCTGTCTCTATTATATGTTTCTCAATAGAGGAGCTAGGTCTCCTCTTCTCAGCATGAATGGATTCTGAAGATTCTGTTTGCATCTGGAGCCATTTAGGAGTGTACTCTGAAGCCAGCCCTTACTTGAAGAGATCTATGAGTCCTCCCTATGTATGTGTGTCCACACGTACATTCAAATCGGTAAATACGGTGGAATGTGACATTATTTTTCGCATGTTCAAAGGGCTTAGATGGATATATTGCATTCATCTTCTCTTTTATTATGATATTAGCTGCATAAAAAGTCTTTTTAACAGCAGCGTTCAATCTTTGTCTAGTTATCAAGCTACTATGATGCCCCATATAGGGTAGCTTGATGTGCACGTATTTCTTAGGGACGAGTTGGAGAGTGGGTCTTGGCGTTCTGACTACTTTACATCCCCTGATGAACTTGTCTGGATAATTATAGAGACGGGACATGAAAATGACTTTAACGCAGCTTTTAAACCTATCTATCAAACGTGTTTGGGGAGTATTCGAAAGTTTGTGGAAGCGCTAGCTAGCAATTAGAAAGTTTCAACCACTTTTATGAGTTCAAAAACAATTCATCGTCACACTAAAACTTCCTTGGTAAACTTTGTTTTGATGCCATAGCAGAAGTACTATTACCTCTCTTATTTGGTTTAGTGATCTTCATTGTTATTTTGACCTTCAACATGTCCTTTCAACTTGTCTATTTCCTCACCTCTTAACTCTTTAATAATTTCACATATATTCCTATGACAAGTTCGTGTGTGGTCAGATTGTTTGAAATAATTGTTTTGCAAATATATTACACAATTCAGACAAATTACCTTTTCGTATTGCTTTGTCTAAATTCATAAAGGGAACTAACTGTTTTACAGGTTAAGTGGTTTTCAGGCAGTTGAATATAAGTGTGAAAGAACGACCACTGCCTAGTTCCAAAATCCTTAATGAAGTAAAGGAAACTGGAAAATAAGTCATATATTGCTCAATTCAACTTTGACAGGACGAAGGTTGTACGGAAATGTTTGGATTGAAATATGTAAAGATTGACTGCAGTCGCCCTTAATACATGGCTTACCCTTGAAAATTCGAAAATATTTGATCGTTTAATGTTAGCTGATGTATGGTAAGTCTTAACTAATAGATTAATAAGGTCTATGTAATTAATTTTCATGCCTAATTTAACTTTATTATTATTGCATAGGTGAATCAGCGGTAGGATTGTTGCTAATCACATACTTGGTCTGGGGTTTGACTTCCAAGCGACGGACTACTAGACCATCTAGTTCACTAGCCGATAGCAAGTGTAGTAAAGAGGAAAGGTTGAGTGTAACGCTAGCAACCTCACCTCTAAAAGCAACACTATAGCTACTGAAACATTAAGGCTAGAAGCCCGATCTTCCACTCGGCGACCAGATGGAATGGTAGGCGTATTCTTGCTTAAGCAATACATTTTTGTACATCGGAAATTATTCCATGGTATCCGATCAGCTCTTGTACATACTGGTACTTTTGAAAGATGTGCTAATCCCGAGTTTTCAGTTAGTGTTGATTCTTCTTAGTCTTCTAATTACACAAAACCTTTACAAGTACAGCCAAGATGAAAGAGAGTATTTAAATAACACACATATATAGATTCTGTCTTAAGGTGTAGTTTTCTGTTTATAATATATTTGAATCTAGCATAGTGTGTTGAAGATTATATATATATATATATATATATATATATATATATATATATATATATATATATATATATATATTAGTATAATGGCTTTCTATCATTTCTGTTCGCTTAGAAAGTTTTCGTAAAACAAGGATAGTCAATATTTCTGTCAATTTATAGCCTTTCATACTCTATTGTTAACAGGCACAATAGTATCACTGGAAGGAAGCTCTGCTCTTCATGCCAGACAAATTAGTGATTCATTCACAAGATGTATTGAATTGCAATATAATTTTCACTTGAATACTGTCTATTCACAATCATTTTCAGTACTGAGCTGAGTAGTGTGGATCAATTGGAGATTATTATAGACATGCATAGCTTACGTAAATAATGTCTTTTAATTTCATTTATCAGTTAAAAAGTCATTGTTACGTTTATTAATATTTGGCATATAAATAAATAAATCGTGAAGTTAACATATTTGAAAATAGTTAAAAGGAATGTAAGAGAGAAGAATTTTGGCACTGAGCTGTAGATAATACTGGATCACTGAGTGTGTGTTTTTATCAAATAAAATTGTTCTATGATGGAACGTTGCGTCAGTGATTCGGAGGTAGGGCACTGGCTGACCATGCATGTGGCCCAGGGTTCGAGTTCAGGCCAGCGCACATCTTTATTTCCCATAGCCGGTTACATTCCAGACAAAGAGGGAAGGCTGGACATAATGCGGAATTATACGGTGTTACCACATGCGTCGGTGGTATATCGGTTAGGAGGCTCGCCGACCATGCATATGGTCTGGGGTTCGATCCCCGGCCGCAAACGCACTCCTTTACCTCGCTAAGCTAGTAATAAAGCTGGTAAAGAGGAAGGGTCGAGGATGAGGCTAGCAACCATATCCTGTAAAAATAAAGACTGCTACAGAAATTTCAGGCCTATAGCTTGAAGCCCTATGTTCCACTGGGAACGTGAAGGAAACAAAATTATACCAATTCAATACCATAATCATTTATTTGACACAAAACATAGCGTGAAATAGAATTAATAACACTACGGTGTTTTTAGCACAATGTATTCCTCAAATACATCATTCTGCAAATGTCATGCCTTCAGTGACAATTAACAAGTTTGATCACACGTTGACATCAGTTAGAGAACCACTGAAAGAACAGGGATTACTGGTTAGCTGTTTCGTTCAATTTTGGGACTCTTTAACAGTACGCAATCAGTAATGTTTCAACTTAGGATGTTTCAGTTACAAGGCAAGTTCGTAGTTCATCGCGCCACTGGGACCTGCAACCGGTAACTAATACCTGCGAACTAGCCATCGATAATTTAGTAATAATTATCTCACAGATTTATTTTATATGTAGTTACACTTGAACACGAAATTAATTGATAATACAATTTAATCCTGTTTCGATCATCATACTGCAGCAAAACATGATGCTTTAGTGGTTTCATAACTCTATATTAAAAATTGATGCAAGAACTGTGTATTTTTAAAAACTGTATAGTAGGACTCATATGATGGTGACTGATGGTACTGACTCCTATTTTTAGTATTTCTAAACTTGGAATCACATTATACTCTAGAAATGTATCACTTGATTACCATGTGAATACGTAAAGAATCAAAACTAAGATATGCATGTCATTTGACTAGGGCGCAATCACTGAGTCAATGAGTTGAATTCTAATGAATGATCCATGAATTTTAACCTTTCAATCAATGAAACAGTGTATCTCATCAGCCGGATTCATCTGAGTGTTTATCAGACTTGTGAGGTGTTTTATCGATTATAGAATACTGTTGCTTTCTTTCTTCCTTCAAACTATTGTGTTCACTCGGTCAGGATTACCGACAGTCATCTGAATTACTCTAAAATGTCTCTGGAAAAATGATCTTCGTAATAGGCAGTGTGACTACTGCAAAATTGGTCTCTATTGATATAGGGAGATTGTAATTTTGAAATGATGTTTCATTTTTAATGTGACAGGATAAAATGAAGGTGTGCTGTTGAAGCCGCACTGTGCTGTTGAAGTTCCACTCAGAACACAAAAGGATACTAATTATGTCCAATACAGTTAATTGCGATGATAACAACAAGTCGGGAGATAATCAGCCAAATTCAAAGTAATCAGAAAGAAAGGAGATTTCATTCACAAATTACTCGAAGAGCTCACTTCCTTTTGAAGTTCAAACTGAAGTGGGTTATTTGCTGCTCGAGTTTCTTTGAATCATAAGGCGTAGAATGTGAACTGTTCAGGTAAGTTAGACATTAGATTCTGGGAAAGACCATAAGAACTAAGCAAAAAAAGGGATAAAGCTTCGTAGTGAAGGTCTCATTTCCAGTTTGTTAAAAAACTTTTTCTCTCTCTGAAAACAACGTCAAAACATTAACACTTACTGTAGGTTTGAATCGTGGAAAATGACGATAATTATTAGGCGCCCAGTCTCCTGAATCATTTTCTGAAAATGCAAATAATTGAAATAGACAACAGTTTGTAGAAGAGTGGGAAATTTAATAGAAAGACCCTAAGAACTGCATAAAAATAGAAAATACTGAACAGGAATATCTTCTCTAAGTTCATTATCTGGAAGCTAACCAATGATTATTCATCTTGATTACAGGTTTATATTAATGAATGATGATATACTCGTGTGAAAAATCCCATAATGCTCGAAAGTCTCTTGAGAAGTTAAACGAAGAAGCGTTTTACAAAGAAGTAAAATACCATGTTAGTTGATACGTTGCAAAGTAAATGATCAAATAGTGATATTCATACAGTTTGCTGTCATCATAATTGTCTCTTATTATTATTGTTCCTTTGGGATCCTAGCGGAACATAGGGCTAAAACTGCACGTCTCCACTTGCCACTTCTTTCTTCCTTCTGCTGTACTTTTCACCTTCATCCATGTTAGTCCATACCGTTTCAACTCCTCTTCACACCATCTACTTCATGTCACCCTTGAACTAACGTCCCATTCTCCGCTTCCCTTTCAGCTGGGTTCCACTCGAGCAATGGCCTGACGCGCGCGCGATGTCTCACAGTGGCCTTCTCAGAGAGTGTTCAATCCATCTCTACTTTCTCCTGCATCTTTATTGGTTGGCTATTGGTTCTTGTTTTGTTTGTTCCCATAGTTTCTTGTTGATGGTTCTTTCCGACCCGTTCGTCTGATCTTCAGTATAGAACGAAGACAGTTGTTGGTAAAGGTCTGCAATAGCCTGTCGGAAATATTCTTTGTGACCCGCCTGCCAAGTTTCTGATCCGTATAGAAGAACTGACTGACCTGACGTTGTTTGTATTGAAAATCCGACCGAATGTTGTTGTTGATGCTGGCTGAGTAATGAAGATTTCCAGATTGGTTGTTTCAGGTTGATGAATGTGTTTCTCGCCTGCCTTCCCAATTCTCGATTTGACATCCTCGTCCGTTCCTCCTATAGTAGTTGAGACATTGCTCCCTAAATAGGTGAGTGAATGAAGTAACCTCTTTCAAATCCCTCCCGTTGATGGTGATTGACGTTGGATGTTGCTGTTCTTGGTTGGCTATTTTCATCACCTCCGTCTTGTCTATGTTCACCTGGAGTTCAGTATTTGCTGCTTCTTCGACATCATAATTGTCTACTTGACGATATTCTTTCGACCTGAGTTTTTGAATATCTATTTTACAGTTGTCACATCTCAAATAAAACTTAAAACCGGTGAGTGCGTACTGCTGAAGAGTCCCAAAATAGGACGAAATGGCTGTCCAGTACTCCCAGGTTTTCCATTGGTTCTCTAACTAATGTCAGCTCATGATGAAATCCTGTAAACAACTTAAAAGATTGATTAACGAACAAAGAGTACATTTTTCGATAAACTAGCCATTGAGCCGTACATTTTTATGAATATAATAATTTAAAAAATATTGCCATTAACAACATTAGTGCTTGAAATTTCACTGAATCAATAGTGTTTATAGATTATATTTCAAAAGCATCAACAGGAGATAATATGTATCAGTGTAGCACCAAATTCATAGACTAGACAGCGGGCTAAAATAACAATAATGGCTGGACCTGTTTCTTTCACACGCGGAGCTCCAATAGATTTAAGCGAACTCTAACAGCTTCTGCTGTTTTGAATGTTCAGCATCTACAGACCTTCGGTAATTTATTCGACGCCCGACAGATGATAGAGAGACTCTTCAATGCTAGCCTTGTGGCCTATTTGGACAAAGTGATCTAGTTGTTAGAATTGCTGATGGTTTTAACATCATCTAGGTAGGTGTTCTCAAGAATGAAACATTAAGCTACTAAAGCAACGGCCAATATCACTGACTCCACAGGAACAGTAGAATGACTAGATACAATTAGAGGTGGGTAACCTAGATGCTTCGTCTTTCAATTCCGGAATCACAAGACATTGTGTGGAAAACAGAAGCTTCAGGTTACCGTCATTAAAGGTTCATTTGAATCGATCTTCTCAACATTTTAGTTATTATTTTATAGTCGTATATGTAGGGGCTTTTAGTTAACAGATACAAAGGAATTCGTTTGTACTTTCCTGGCTATGCGTTTACTGATGAACTTTTCATAGGAGCAGTTACCAAATATCCCCAAGGAGGATACCGTATTAATAATCTAGCTCACAGTTACCTGATCCGTGAGATTCTTCTGTTCAACAAGTCATTAATTCACTTCAGTCTTTAAACTGTATACCTTGGTAGTTATTTCATACTAAAGATGAAAGTGTAGACGGGATTTAACTGTATATTTCAACTATCCATCTTACTAAAAGTTGAAAATCATATGAAGCCACACCTCTGCTAAAAAAATTACGATATGCAAGCCAGCAATTTTGCACTGCTGGCTAGTATTTCAACCAACTACAACTATGTCCTCTGAATGAGCTTCCATTGAAAGTCAAACCAATCTGCTTATGTCGAAGATATTATCTCTAACACACCAAAGAAGGCCAAGAATTTTAATGAAATTCCAATCTTAATTAACTCTTTCTATGTAAAACTCAGTTTTAATCATTACAATAAATATTTCAGTCTTTAACTGTTCATGCTATTCACTGGCATATATGTATATATTTGAAATGGTTTGTTACTTTAGCTATAAGTGCAGAGACGTTGCCGCTACTGTTCTCTCTTTTTCTTTTCTACTTATTGATCGTATCAAAAGTTATTTTAAGGCTTCATTGAAAAAAATACTTTTTTCTTTAGTACAATGTAGCATACTATTAATTCAGTGGAATGTTTAAATATAATGAAACTGCACACATATTAAAAATGTAGCCAACAGATTTACAATATGTGAAAAAATTCGAAAACTCATTATAGAAAAAATGAAAGACAGAGACGTACATTGGCCCTTAGATGAGAAATAATTTTAGGTTTAATGTAGCCTGCTAACTATGAAATACAGATTTTAGTTAGATGATTATTTTGTCATAGTGTGCATGCATATAACCAAGTCATAATCTGTAATTCAAGTATTGGTTTGTAAGGATTTGGTTGATTGGTTACAGGATTTCAACATGGGTTGACACTGGTTAGAGAACCATTGGAAAACCTGGTCAGGTGTAAGGACAAATACTTGCTGAAGATATTGGCTAGCGGTTGCGCTACATCGTGAATTCGTAGAAGTCAGAATTCATGGGCCGTCAGATCGGCTCCCAGTGGCTTAATGGTATATGAGCTCGCCTTGTAACCCAGGTGGTACTGGGTTGGAACCCCTTGGGTGGATACATTCTGATGAAGAGTTCCCAACTAGGACGAAACAGCTGTCCAGTACTCCCAGGATTTCCAATGGTTAGCTAACCAATGTCAAATCATGATGAAGATCTGTAATCAATCATAATCTGCAAATTTTATACCAATTTGAAATCTATACAGTTTGACTGTGTTAGACTTTCACCGTGGCTTCTTTTGAGGAACCAAGTTATTCCTATCAAAGCTGTGGTCTTTTTGATACCTCAAGATAGCATCGTTTCTGCATAAAACTACATACTACTGATTGATTGTCAACCAGTAGTGCTTGCTAGCCAGATTTGAGTGATCAAAACACTGAAGGGTTGTTTCGCTCATCAGTTCACCCTAGTAGCTGGCCAGAAATTTAGTTGTTTGACCTGATTTGGCTCTCTGAGTTGATTCACACCGGGTACACCGATGATGAGTTCGGCGCCAAACGAACGATATGCTAATTTAGTGTTTAGATCACTTCAATCTGGGCAGCAAACGTGACTGGTTGATGGGAGCAGCATACAACATCTTGGTCAACCAGCAGTATACAGTTTTATGCAAAAATGTGCACATATTTGAGAGAGGAAATTTAAAAAATACTGATCGGTTATTGCTTCTAGTTCGTCCGTGTCAGCATATTTGAACACGTTTAAGTCTTTTTCTCCTGCCCCCTTGTGTAGTTTCATTAATTATTCCTATTTCACTTCAAAGCAGAATTACTTAACTGTAGCTACCAGGCCGCCCTCAGGTGTAACCCTACTGGGAAAAGATGTGTTGGGTTTGTGTTCAAGGGTGAAATTGAGGAATCCATATAAAGAGGGATGTGGAGCACACCAAAAATCGAGCAGGCATCTAAAAAAACAGCAGGGAACTAAATTCAGTGGAGATATTCTATCCGTAATCCACCGAACTAATAATACAATGATAGAAACACCAGATGCGTAGAGTACTTCAGAAGCAACTTGTTAACATTCTCGCTTTGAGGTATGTAAACGCTAAACAAAACTCTGAGTACTAAAACGATCGGCACATAGAACAGCCTCGTGTACTTTCCATTTCAACAGTTTTACTGGCCTAGTGTATATCATTTAAAAGAGAGCATTATTCAATCCGTTTTCATTTGATGAAACTTGAAAGAAACAATTCTGTAAAAAAACTACCACTGTGAGTCTAAGAGACTTCCGTTTGTAAGCATCAAGGTATTATTATCAACATTTCCGCTTATCCAATCACTAAGTGAAGTGCATTAAAATACTCTAAGTACCATTGATCACAGTTATTCACTCTGTATATATTACCCCTCATAAGATGAGGAAATCCCTAGGATTTTTAGAATTTTACAGTATTCAAGTGTATTCTTCTTCTCTTATATATATGTACACATATATGTATATGTCACGAGGAATTATTATTCTGATCTTTTAGAATGTGATACACTTCAAATTATTCTGAAGACTGCGGATAACAATAATTTCAGTTGGTAGTTTACACAGATAAAATTGTCACAAGTTTGTTCAGCGTTTTAAACACATTTAAGCTTAAATTATTATTTAAAAACTAAACTGTGATTCTAATTAATTATTAATTAATTATTTATCCTAACCGCTTTGCCACCGACGCAATGTGTGCAGTACTTGGTTGAAATTACTGACTTATTTGTTTGGAATAGAATGTGTCGCGCTATTCACTTCTCCATCGTGTTATGCTGGAGGTCATTCGCCACCAAAAACTATAGATATTCATTCATCTACAGGAATGTAATTATTAAAAGAATCCACTACTGGTTGGCATTAGTGATATCTGACTACTTATATCAGTCAGCCAGTAGTATAAAGAATCATGTAATTATGCTAACTTTTTTGACTGACATTTATGTAATCCAGCAGATGACGCATTGTGATACTTTTAATTTAGGTTTCTAATGGAAATCGTGGTGAAATCTCACCTCGGAATGTGTGAAGGGCAAATCGCAAATTATTTTCTGCATATTTGGAATTCGAGTCATTAATCTTTCCTTTCTTTAATGTTTCAGAATAAACACATAGAAGTTTAGGTGGAAAACATCAGCTGTGGATTATACGTTGATATGTATAATTTGGTTTGTTGTGACTTGAGTTCTGCCTATAAATGAGTTTATGTGTTATAACCTGTTTTAAATTGTGGGCCAAATTAACGAGAGGTGCATTTTCTCACAGGTACAACTACATCTGCTAATAATTAAATGAGAGATCCACTTCTGCCTATTAAGTTAAAAATAATATTTAAAAAAGCAACTCATCAGTCAAGTGATGGAAATTCCTTTCACTGGTGGAGTAACACTCCTTTAGAGTTATCCATGTGAAAAGCCGTTTTCAAAGAATGTATCATAATAAAGAAAAGTTTTTGGGGTCGACAAAATTCCAGCTTCACTTCAATCAGCTTTCAAACAATATGAATGACCAAAGAAACGAGAAAGTTCACTGGCGGGACGTTTACTACCAACTAACTTTTTCGTATTTGTGGTAATAGTTTTGGTTTTTCTCACTTGAAACAGGTAGGTACTCATTTGAAGTCATCCGCAGTTGTATTTCTATATTCTTATGTACTTTACAAAGTAGTTTATGTCAAGAAAGCGGATGTATAAGCAATCGACCTTTTGTTCAAAGATACATCGAAAATCGAAACACTCGATTTTTCAGTCGCTTGTATGTGTACCCTCGCAACACTGAGTAGATTTAAGTCTCAAGTTACATGTGTAAACTTGGCTTTTAAACTGATAAAATACATAGTTATCAAAATATACTTCATTTCTCATTACCAATTGTAAGCAGCTAATTTCATTCCGTCCGGAATATATTAAAAGGAATTTAAGTGAGCACGACTTTTTTATGTTGACAGTTATCTGAACGATTGTCTTCATGACTCAATGATATATCCCATTGGATTTACCTAAAGTTTATGTATGGCTTTATGTATTCTATTACGCAGAATTCTTCTGTTTGTGCAGGAAATATTCATTATTGTTGCATAGAAGTTCCTGAAAAATGTCAAATGGTTTCTGCAATTTTTATCAACATTATTTTTTACCTAATTCTGTTGTTATGACTTCTCTTCATTTCAGGCTGCTCCAATTGAGAAATTTAGTGTGTTAAAAAAGGAGCCATGAAATAAGTTAACATTTTATGCAGCCGGCATAGTCTCATTTTGTCTTGACAGTTTAGTCACCTTGTTATGTTAGTGAGTTTAATAATTTCTTTTATTTTTATAACTATGATATCTTCGGGTATTAAGATCCTATTTACTGAGTATGTGGTAAGATTATCAAATTGGAACTTAGTTTGAGAGAATGATGTGAACCTAGTGGCGTATTTCTGCTAAAGTTTTGGTTGTTTATAAGACTTTTCAAAATTAATTCAGTAATGGATGAGCTATTCACTAGTTTTATGATCATTCGGCAGTGTTTAAGAAGCTCATTTCAAACCCCTGAATTTTTTATCCATCTACGTTCACAGTGGAACGTAAAGCTTCAAGCTTTGAGGTTTCAGTGGCAGTGGGATTTATTTTTACGGGATGGAGTTGTTAGCCTCATGCTCAACCTCCTTTCTTCACCAGTCCTGTTACTGGCTTAGCGAAGTTTGGGAGTACGTTGGCAGCCGAGGATTGTACCCAAACCACCTGCGTGGTCGGCGGGCATTTTACCACAGTGCCATTGACGCACTATTCTTAGGGATGGAATAACGAAATAGTATGTTAAATAAATAGAGTATATCGATGACGATGCTACAGTAATACAACTAGTTCTTGGAAGTTTTCATTGTTAAATCATACAAATGGATTCCCCACTTTTATATCACTTCCTAATGCTTCGTAATGGTTAAAATAGATAATAATGAAGCGGTCGATCAGGTGCAAAGGCTATTTGGGTATTTAAAACATTTAAGAACCACAAAGATACTTACCATAACTAACAGAATCTATGCAATTGAATGAACCAGCTCGAGTTATTTTAGTATCTGAATAAAGGTTAAATAAAAATAGAACTTTTAATAAATAAATCCAAACTAAATATAGTTATGGTCAAAGTATTGCTACTTTTATATAAGTGGAGCTTTGAAATTTATAGAACTTGGTTCAGTATTACTTCAAGTAATAGAATGCTGTTTTTTGTTAACTAGACCAAATGGCGATCTGAATCTATTATTGACCGGAAGCGGAGGTGGATAAAATCAATGTATAAACCCAGTTGATGACTTTTGTTCTCAACGCTTTGTATATGTTTGAGGTGTTTTTGAAATGGTATCCACAAAACTTTGAAAGAAGTTATGCAGAAATTGCAATCGATTTAAGTTCCTATTTTTACTGCTTTCCTCTTTTTTTATAGCTTTTAACATTCGTGATGACGTCATCACTTGTTCATCCTCCTACACATTACTTCCAACCTAACATGAAGATGAACTTTGGAATGCTATTCGCTAATAGAGGGTCGTAGTTGGCTATGTGTTTGACTCTTAAAAAGGGTGATATTGAAACGATCTCACACTGACTAAATGGTAATATTTAAACGTTCTACATATTCAGTAACTTCACTGATATTAATTGAATTTTAGTAATCAGTTTCTTTTGGTAAAAGTAGACAAAATTTAAATACAGCACGAATGTCACGTCATTAAATCATTCGATCAGTTGTACACACATGACACCCGTTTTTCAGCTGACAGACTCAAGTTAATGGGTTTTGAGTATGTTCTACGTTTAGATAAGCCTATATGTCATTTGGATACAGCTATAATGACAAGTAATCCGACTTCAATTGCTTATTTGATGTGCATGGCTATTTTCACGTATGCATTATCCAACTTACATATGTGTAGGCGGGGTCTTTTTGTAAACTAAAAGTACTCCGATCACCATGTGTGATCTGGTTAATATGTTAGATAACATCAGTACAATAGCTGTGGAATACATATTGTGGTCTGATAATGAGTAGCTGGTAGTTATTCATATCAACCAATAGATCTAGCTGTCCATATCGTGGTGGTTTAAACGCTAAATGAACCCTCCCTTTGCTTTTTAGTTCACCAGTGGTTTAATCCACCCGGCGTAGCTCACACAACTTGCTAATTTTAAACTTTCCGAGCTCTGTTTAGTTGGGTGAATCACCAACAGTGCCCAAACGGGAGACAGTACTGAAATACTTTTTTATCATTCAGAACTTTTCCAGTAAACCTCAGATGTAACGAAGCGTGATGTAAAAATGTTTGTTTCTTTGTCAGCTTATCTGCATCTGTGCCAAGTGAAATGTTTCCTACTTCAATTGTGAGCAGTTTAGTCTGGTTCTCACTGCAGAGTAGGGACTAAGCTCAGTCCTTAAAAGCTTCAGTAATCCTAGTCACGCCACTTAAATAAAGTCTCCTACCAAGGCATGTTTATAAACTTTGTGGGAATAGTTTAAAGTGAGATTGAGTTCATCACTTAGTTATTGTCGAAACGTTCATGACATATCAGATAGAATTCTAGGAATGCATTATAGGATATTATAGTCTGTTCCAGTTTGAATTAGTCAAGATATTGGCGGTATCGTTTCCGCTATAGACGGAACGGGTGGGGATGGTAAGACCAGGATCGGAAAAGAAAGGCAAACTTTCATCACTCTGAAATCAATTTGGAAATCCGCTGCAACCACAATAAGGAACAAAATTCAGATTTGTAGTACCAATGTAAAGCCACTGTTTCTATATGGGTCAGAAACTTGGTGCCTTACGAAAAGTAGTTTCAATAAGCTGCAGGCTTTCGTAAACAACTGCCTCTGCTGGCTTCATTGTGAAGATAAGATGATTAGTCAGAAGGGACAAACAACATGGAAATCTGGCAGGTGACATAAATAACCAAGAACCTATCGCTAAACAAATATACAGAAAGAAATGAAGATGGATCACAGATACACTGAGGAAACCATAGAGTGACATCACCAGATACGCCCTCAAATGAAACTTTAATGAGGAACGGCTAGTCAGATGTATATCTGAGGGTGACATGGAGAAGATCTTATGAAGAGGAAATGAAACCTTATATGTAAATGTACAATTAGTTAAAGAGGACTGTGGTGAAGAGGAGATGTGCGTTTAAAGCCCTATATCTCAATAGGAATCCAGTGAGAACTATGACAGTAAGCTGTTATCAACTTACATCACAAGATGACATCTGTCTGTCTGTATGTTTTCGACATAGAACTTTGCACAAATGTGCGGAAGTTCAAGTCGCCACATTCCGTGTAGCACGCGAAGCAAGAGAAGAAAGTACAAGAAAAGCATAATAGAAACAGTGAGCAGAGGTGTGAGACAAAGGAGTAATAAAGAAAAACAAAACAGTTTCATTGGAGATCATAAGTCACAGGAGTGGATGCATCTGCGCCACTGAGAACGATTTTGAGCCATGTCACCAATTGTTTCCAACCATAGATTTTTACCGTCCCGAGGACCCCAGCCTGGAAGTCTACACCTTCCTACGTGGCTTAGACCAACTGTTGTGGATTTCATTGACTGATGCCAAGTTTTTGTTTGACCGCCGCTAGCTTTTTTCCAGCCTGACCCTATATCCGCTAACATTGCTCGTCGAGGGAGGCGATGGCTTGGCATACGTAACACATGTCCTAACCATCTCAGTCTTTGTAGCTTCACGACTTCGTCGATTGATTTCCCCTGTTTACCTAGAACTCTACGCCTAACCTCCATGTTGCTCACCTTATTATGCCACTTTACACGGGAAATAGAACGCAGGCACCTATGATCAAAGACAGCTAGTCTTTTCATGTCTTCCACTCTCAGTGGCCAGGTCTCACAACCATAAAGGAGGACGGAGCGGACTGATGAGCAGTACACCCGCCCTTTGGTCGATAGTCGAACATCTCGTCTACGCCAGAGTCGGCGTAAACTAACAAATGCGAAACGAGCCCCTTGTATTCGTGCTGAGATTTCGTCAGAGATCAGCCCGTTGGGGCTGATGGTACTTCCCAAATAAGTGAAGCGGTCAACGTGCTCTACCACTTCACTTCCTATTTTTAAACTAGGCGTCGATGTAGTCCAGTCCTGTAACATCATCTTGCATTTGGCGGGAGCGAATCGCATGCCAAACATTCGTAGATTGCGGCTCAAGGTGTTTAGAAGACTCTGCATTTCGTCAGCGTCTTCGCCTAGAAGGACTATATCGTCTGCATATTCCAAGTCAACGAGATTATTCCCGGTAGCAAGTCAATCCCTGAGTCGCTGAAGTCACCTAGGGTTAAGTCCATTAACACATCTATGATGAAGTTGAATAGAAAAGGAGATAATGGGCATCCTTGACGGACACCACTGGTCGTCATCAGTTCAGATGACAGCTCGCCGTAAGCCCTCACCTGGCTGTATGAGTACGAGTAGAGTGCCTTAATCAGTGCAATATATTTTCTCGGAATTCCCTTTACAGCCAAGCATCTCCAGAGAACTTCCGATCGACAGAGTCGAATGCTGCCTTTAGGTCAAGAAATATAATGACTGTTGGACGCCGGTAGGAATGCCTATGTTCTAGAATCTGTCGGAGGGTGAAGATATGATCAATACACCCTCTTCCTGGTCTAAAGCCTGCCTGGCTCTCTCGTGTTTGTGCTTCCCGAGCACCACTCAGTCTACGCATGATTATTGAAGACTTTAGATACTATATTAGTCAAGCTAATCCCTCTGTGATTATCACAGGAAGACTTGTCTCCCTTCTTGTATATGGGGATAATCAGTGACTTACACCAACCCGATGGGACTTCTTCTGATTCCCAGACGCTGCCTAGTACCTCAGTTAATCCGGACAGTAAGCTGTCTCCACCGTACTTAAATACCTCTGGAGTCATTCCATCAGGTCCCGCTGCTTTGCCTAGTTTCAGATTGGTGACAGCTTTAGTAACCTCAGTTAGTGACGGAGGACCTGTGTCTATATCCCATTCAGGGAGGTGTTGGATGCTCGGAAGGTTGAGCGTGGCTGTGGGCAAATTAAACTGCTCCTCATAATGCTCTTTCCAACGATCCAGTCGTCTATCCTGGGAGCTAATTATAGTGCCATTTTTTTCCGAGATTGTCTCACTAATGATTTGTCTTCTCCCACCCGTTTCCCTGATGAGTCCAAAGAGTTGCCTGGTGTTGCCTATCCTCGAAGCTTTCTCCATCTCTTTGGCTTTTGTCGCCCACCACTGTTCACGGTCCTTGCGGAGACTTTTCGTAAGTTTCCTCTTGTGCAGCTTTCGCTCCTCATTGAATTCGGAGCTCGCCGGAATAAGTCTTCTAGCATCTATCAGTTCGGATGAGGCGGTGGAGATCCAGTGGTTTTTACTCACCTTTGGGTTTACCTTATTCACAGCTTTTACAGCTGTATCTATGGCTGCCTGGATATTTTTCCAAGCTTCTTCAGGGTGAGCACAGCTGTCGAACACAGATATGTGTTTAGCTAGTTCTTCCTCAAATACGGATTTAGTTTCCTGATCGAGCTGGGGACGTGATGGTTTTACCGCCAGCTGTTTCCTACGTCCGTTCAGTCGTAAGCACACCCGAGCGCGGACCAGTGCATGGTCGGTATCTACGCACGTGTTCCAGAAGGAGCGACAATCTCCTACCGACCCACGCCAACGATAGCTTATTGCTATGTGGTCTATTTGTGTCCAGCGTTGGTTTGATGAAGGGGGTCTCCAAGTCAAACAGTGTCTCTCCTTGTGTTTAAAGTTAGTGCTTACAAGAAACAAATGATTATCAGAGCAGAACTGTAGGAGACGGTCACCGTTGTCGGTTCGCTGGCACGGAACTCCATAGGTGCCACCGACATCCTTCTCAGATTGACACAATTTCCCTACTTGAGCGTTAAAGTCACCAGCTAGAACGACTATGTCTGAGCGTTTAGCCTTTCCACCAAACTAGACAGCTTTTGGTAGAACTCATCCTTCGTTTCATCTGAACTGCAGTCAGTGGGGGCGTAGGCGGAGATTACGAAAAGGCATCGGCGAGTAGTGCAGTCCTTCCTCCTTCTTACTGATCCGTTCAGGCGGACAGCACACATTCGGCTATCTACCGGGATCCAGTCAAGCAATGTCTTTTCTGCCCTAGTACTCAAAGCTATCCCTACGCCAGCTAATCCTCGTGAACTAGCTGTGGCATCTCCTGACACCCTCAAGGTGAATTTTGCAGATTCAACCTGTTGGCCAGGTGGGGTTAGGTGAATAACCACACTTGGGTCTTGTATGCGTGTTTCTGAAACACAGCATACATCAATGGCTCGTGATGCCAGGGTCTTGGCTAGTGATGCTTGTTGTCCTATTTGGCAAAGTGTCCTAACATTAAGAGCTCCTATATGAAATTGGTGGCGCGGCTTTAAGAGGCTGTCGGTGGTGGTTTTTTGGCTTCCATCGTTTTTAGTGGACGCAGAGTGGAGAGGAAGTGGAGAGCTATCAAGTCGAGGAGTTGCATCAGTGGAAGGAAGGCAAGATGATAGAGATGAAGATGAAGACAAAGATGAGTGAGTAATAGAGAGGTTTCGTGTGCATTTCGGATTGTGAGGGCGATTGTTACTTCCCGGCTGCCCACACCGTGGAAGTTGGTTGCGTGACCGCAGAGCCCAGGGGACAACTGCTTGAGGCCGGTCACACGCGGCCTGTTTTTGTTCGTTCTTTTTTGTTTGGTGTGTCTCAGTAGCATATTTATCACTCCTGCCCTGTGACACGGCAGCAGGAAGCGCGGTCGTTGTTAATCCGGGCCACGGCCGATCCGGCATGAAATTTTGTGATTTTGTATTGGACATGATGTTGGATTGGGTAGCTGCTTTTTGTTTAACCGCTATCCAAACAACCTGCCTGGCATGGTAGACCTCAAGAGACATAAGTCTCAGCCAGTATAGCTTGAATAGATCATTGCGGTGTTCAAGCCCGACCACCACGTCAATGTAGCAGCTTTCGGTCGGGACAAGATGACATCAGTTGCGGTATTACTCAAAACCAGACAATACCGGTCAGCTGTTACATCCTAGTCCGGAACTCTTCAGTAGTACAATCCCATTTCATCATTGGGTGTTGGTAGGGTATTAGGTCCCATTAGGGTATCCCATTAGGTCACCTAAAGTTTCGTATTAAGAGTTGTTATCTTCATATAAGTCGGAAATTGCATGTTTTTACTCAGGGAGTAAGTTCTCAACATGTTAATTAGATTTTGAATGGTTGGCATCTGAATTATAACCGTGATACCTGAACAGCTGCTCTTTGACAAGCTATCGTTTCTTAGCTGGGCAGATCCTGGGCACGCAGCAACAAAGAATAATTAACAAATATGCTATTGAAATTAGAAGCATATCTCTATACTCTTCCATTAAGTGAATCAAATAGCTGCATTCTGTTCTATTTTTGTTCTGTTCTTTTTACGGAATGAAAGTTTATCATTCAGTTGGGTTGAACGGTTGGGTCAGTTTCAGTTTTGTTACTTTAAGTAAGAGTAGGGCGTTTTATTTTTGTTGTCACACGTGGTTTGTCAATAAATACTGAGGTACTTCCTATGTTTAATTAATTTCAGTATAGTTTAGGTCAAGAGTTAACATCATTTGGATAGGCAATGCTTCCTGGTTGGTGTTCAATGATTCTCTATCTGATATCATTTCATGCGAAATAAATGAATGAGAAATGGAGTAGAAAAATAGCCTAAAAGGAAGGCATCTGTTTATCGAAGTATACATGGACAAACTATAATTTAGAAAACGAAATTTACTTTGTTTTGGCACCGGGTACTCATAAAATGAGTTTGGGCGTCCTCGTGATGAGATGTCCTCTGTAAATGAAATAAAACATAAAATATTAAGTCAGATTGCGTTATTCTCAGTAAATTAACGTGTTCAGCTGCGCATTCATCACATATATGGGCGTTTTAACCAGAAATATACTGATATGTATTAAATGATAAAAAATGTAATACACTTCATAATTTGATTTTCTTGTATTGTGCTTCCATAACTTTTTCATGTAGCTCAATAAAGTTGGAGCGAATAGTACAGCCAACGAAAATTCCTATGCCTATGTAGTTGAAATCATTATTTCATCATAAACCTGCTGTCTGATTTACTTGAAAATTTTCTGATTAATTAAGTGATCAAGTGTGAAGTCAGTGGGTTTTCAGATGGTATTAGCAGGTAGGAATATATCCATAGGCAATTGGTTCTTCCTACAAAACAAAAATAAATTTTTTTAAACATCCCTTCGTCCACAACAGGTATCTGAATACCGTAGAATTACCGTTGGGAAAATCTTTGTAATCAGAGGACTAGACATATCACCCTAGTTACTTGTGTCCGAAACAGTCCTACAGGAGGTCGATCGCGAGGCTGAATAGCTCAGCAGTAACGTCTCTGAGTACAGCACTGGGTGACTCAGATTCGATTCCCTGAAGGGGTATGAGTCCCTTCAAGGTTGCAGATATGCCTTGCTGACTGGTGTGTGCCAACTAGCACGAAAGCCAGGTCGAAGGATTCCTGCCGATTGATTCCAACTATCTAAGATCGACAATTCAAAGTGTACCGTGATGTCGGGCTACCTAGAATGGTGGCCGCATTGCGAACCTGACTCACAGAATTTAGTCTGCCCCAAAGAAAGGATTAGACAAATCACAGTAGTTACTAGTGCCCGATCAAAGTGTTTAGAGCCAATTTGAGCTTTCAAGTTATACTACTAAATAGTAGTCTACCTTTGTAACGCGAATTTCACAAATTAACTTTCATCATACACCTTTTTCGATTTTGTTGAAGATTCGGAGCACATTAAGTGAAATTGAGATGAATTCATCCTAGAGTTTTACTTTAAAAATGAATCTCCTGTTTTCACACAGAAGAAAGACGAGCTTTTCAGTGTAAAACGATATTTTCTCTTTCCACAGGTTTTCATCAGCTGCAAACTACCTGAAATTATGATGGTTATACAGATAAAAAAAAATGATTTCAGCTCACTGAGCAAATTTCAGTCTTATGAAATGTAATCTTCTTGAGCTGCCATGTGAACCTGTATGTTAACGCTTTCTATTAGATTTCTCTGTTTCCTGTATTCTACTTTTCTACTTTAAAAGCATATAAATTGATGTTGCCTAAAATAAAAATTGTTATGCTTACATTTCAGATGTGTTAATTCGAATTTATTACCATTCAGACATTGAAATGCGTTATTTCCACTTTTGTTACTTTTATACTTGCTGTAATTTCCCGCAGTTTGCAGTTGATGAGAAACTGTGAAAAAAAATAATATCGTTTCTGCTGCAGATTTCCGTCTTTGTTGTCTTTTGAAAATGTATCAAGGGAACCAAGTGTATGAAATCTCTTATTCTCTTATTTTAATCTTCGCTATTCACTTATACACTGATACACACATACATGGACAATCTTCTATCCCTTAATCTCACCTGTCAGGATTTTTATCTTAGTGATTCGATGTTGTTAAAAGACATTGTTTTCAATAACGCTTATTCCCTAAGAAGTATGAATGTATAACCATAGAAACCGAAGGGTTTAAAGAAAATAATATCATTTGTTCAGTAAACAGTACATAATTTCTTCATAGATTACCCTTATGAATATGGTTCTTAGTTATAGTTGTGAGATGTGATAATAATCTCGTAGAACACCTATTTGTATTTGTCTATAACCGGAATATCAGTCGCCAGATTATTATTGGTCATTAAATGGATTTCATAAAGCTACAGTGGGAAACCGTGACCAGTGGAGGCCACCATATCAAAGTGAATTGGATGCTTATTGAAGGCATTGATATATCGTTATATCACGAAGTGACTCAAAGTTAAATTTCATGGGTCTTTGAATTCCAGCCAAATTAATCCAATAATAAATGAGCTTGGTTTTGGAGCCTGAATGGTCCCGGGTTCAATCTCTTGCCAGGTCGTGGGTGCATACTTTTGAGTAGTCCCAAAATGGAGTCTTTCAGCTCTTCGAGGCTCCCTAGTTTTCAGTGATCTCTCTAATTGATGTTGGTTCTAGACGAAAACCTAACGATTGAATATTGTCTATGATTTAAGTGGTGCATAATGTAGAAATTTCTACTAACGATCTGGGTTTGTGGGTTAGTTAACCGTGCATTATACAGAGAAGGTTAACGAATGCAGTGATAAGCATAATTAGCGAATCATCAAATGACAGGTCGTCAAATAAACAATTTTCAATAATTAGTTTTGTAGGGAATTTGTATGAGCGGATGGAGGATTTCATCATGAGCTGAAATCAGTTAGAGAATCACTGGGAAACCTGGCAGTTCTGGACAGCTGTTTCGGCCTAATTTGGGACTCTTCATCAGTACACACCAACTCATGGGGTTCGAATCCAGGACCTTCTGGTTACAAGGCCAGCGAGCTCGTAGAATATTGAGCCACTGGGACCCAATCCAGTGACCCATGACTTCTAACTTTTGCCAGTGGCTCAATGGTCTACGAGCTCGCCTTGTAACCAGAAGTTCCTGGGTTCGAACCTCGGTGGGTGTGTACTACGGTTTCAAACCAGGGTGAAACAGCTCTCCGGTACTCTCAGGCTTTCTGGTGATTCTGTAACTGAAGTCAGCTGATGATGAAATCTTCCATCCAATCCAATAAACAATTTACTAATAAAATTACATTGATATATGTGACACAAATTTCACTCTCTATCTAACTGACGGATAATGTTGGCACTTTAGTGGTTCAATGGTGCTTTCCAACCACGCACCTGGTCGTGATTGGAATTCCTGCTGACAGTCTCTTAAACTCCGGTTAGCTGGTTCTATACTGGGTAAAAAGAGAAGGTTGGGTGTGACGTCAGCAACTCTACCCAGCAAAGAAAACACTACCAATAATTGAACTTCAAAACTCAGACTTGAAACTCTGTGTTCTGCTAGCATAGAAAAGGAATGAAAATGATTTAAAATACAAGTACAAATGTTCTTATTATATTATCTAGTGATATGAAAATGGCATAAGGATGAACAATAATAAAGTTTCAGTTGATAATTTGCTTTTAATAAATTTTTATTCTACTGTTTGGAGAATCCCATCCATAGAGTCTGATTTACATCTGATTATTTAAAGTGTATTTCAGACTGGAAATTAGAACCAAGTGTCTCTGTGTCAGTACAATAGTAACCACCCAACATGCCAATGGAGTTGCAAAGCCATTCATTGAAAAAAACATATTATCAGGTTACTTGTCTAGGTAAAACAAAAGTTGTACATTGTCGTCCACATTATGAAATAAACTTCAGTTGCATTCAGAGATGTCATTCTCACCAAAGTCTCTAATTGTTTTCAAGCTCTTAGTAGTGCATGTTTTGTGTTGTACTTCAATAATATTAGTAAAATTCCCATTCATTGCTTTAGTTACGGTAACTTTGCCTAAAAGATCATGTCTTCTCTTTATTGTTCAGACAAAAATGTTTATATTTAGTTAGCTCTGACGGGTAGGGATTTTGAGAAAGCTAAAATGACAGGATAGAATCTTGATTTGGCGTCTGTCACACTTCATGAATTTCAATGCATTAAGTCAGCATCTTGATAAAACTCTAGATATGATAGAGAAGATTTGTAGCTCGGGTGGATGATTTTGATGTGGTTGTGTTCTCTGAGCTGCATGGTTGATTTGCGAAGCTTTCATCACCCTACTGGGTGACATCTTCAGCGCATACTTCAGTTTGAAGTGAGCTTTTAGATTTCTCCACGAGTTTATTAATCATCTCTCCTGGTGACCTTGGACTTGACTGGTTGTTTTTGTGTGCTTTCATACCTTCTATTATTATCGGATCAACAAATATCAACAAATAATAGATGTCCAAAAAGTAAAATTAGAGGAAATCCTCACCCAGGAACACCTGTCAACGCTGATCACCGCAATTGCATTGTCAAGTAAAAAACACAGAGAACAAAGACGAAGAGTCCTCAAAGCCAAGCTAGCCAAGATTAGAAAACAACAACCAGACAATACGCTTATAGACTGCGTAGTCAACCTATCAAAACAACCACTATCAAAAATGGAACAACAACTACTACAAAAAGGATTACACTACAACACCGGAGATGCTTCGAAAAGTGATTTCTTCGCTGCCCTTGAATCATTACTCAAATCATCAAACTTGAACGAGGAAACACAGGAGGAGATACGCCAAACAACTGTACAAATGGTCAAACAGAAAAAACAACACACTCAACTCAACTCTCAGGAACTAAAGTCCCTCAAAAAGCTGAAAAATAGGAAGGACATCGTCATTTTACCAGCCGAAAAAGGAAGAACAACATTAGTCATGGACAGAGAAGAATACACCAAGAAAGCTGAAGAGCTACTCAAAGACGAGGATGTATATCAACAACCCCCAACAAATCCCATACAAACATTGAACAACCGCATCCAAAGGACCTTAAACAAGCTCACCAAAACTGGACTGATAGCAAAAAAAGACCAATGGCGAATGTAGTCCAATGGACCAGTCCTACCTTGATTCTATGGCAGACCCAAAATACACAAGGCAAATATCCCGTTACCACCAATTGTATCACTTCCAGGAACTTCAACATATAATTTATCCAAAGAATTATACAGAAAACTAAAACACCTAACGGAATCTTGTGATAACTCCATCAACTCTGCTATCCAATTCCTAGGGAAAATCAGAGGCATCCAAATAGATGAACAAGAAATAATGGTATCCTTCGACGTCACAGCATTATATACCTCAGTCGGACGAATACTAGCAAACGAAACCATGAAGCAATCACTCATCAACGACGAACACCTCCCACAACAATCAAAAATGCAA